CACACACACACACACACACACACACACACACACACACACACACACACACAGAGTATTAATGCAGTTAAGAGAAGTGGAAATGCATCATATGCATGTGGCTCTGCACAAACAATATCTGTGGAAATGACTGTATTACTGAATGTCAATAAACAAATGTCTGTAAATACTCATTTATGTGTTTAATAATGACATGCTGACTTATTTGAAGTGGAATGTGTGAAGCATGCAATGATTTTGCTGAATATAGATTATAAATAGTAGTGATGCACCAAAATGAATTTTTAGTGAGTTGCCAAGGTGACATTTTTTAATTAAATTTTAAAATTTTAAAACTAAAACTGAAAATACCTAAACTAAAAAACAACAACAACAAAAAAACAATAAGGAACATTTTTTTTAAATGCATAAAACCAACAAAACCAACAAAAACACAGAACAAAGTAACTAAAATTTAAACTAAAATTTAAAATGATGAATATAGATACACCAAAATGAATTTTTAGTTAGTTGCCAAGACAACAGTATCCTACTATTTTTTTCTAAAACCAAAAAGAACTAAACTTAAAAATAATAATAATAATAATAAACATTAAATAATTTTAATGCACAAAACTGACAAAAACACAAAACAAAATGACTAAACTTTAAACTGCAATTAAAATGAAAACAGAAAAATTATGAATACAAGCGACACACCAAAATTTATTTTTAGTTGCCGAGGCTACTATTTTTCTCTAAAGAAACTGAAAAAAAGTGTTTAACAATCAATTAATTACTCAATTTTTTTTTAATAATCAACACTTAAATAAAAACAGTTGCACATAGACATTTAAATTGCAAATAAGTGACATTTTTATATCAACTTTTTAAAGTATGTAATTATGTTTCTATTTGTCATTTAATTCCAAACATTAAAATAGTTGCTGTAAAAAAAGACAGATTTATTTAAACATATGAAGTAACCACAGCAACAGGTTAAGTAAAAATATAATGAATATGTAATATAGTGCATATATTTAGCAAACACTTTTATTTTTTTTATCCCTATCGAATCCAAAAATTAAATTTCTGCCAAATATTTTCAGATGTCGATTTTCAGTGCATCACTACAATAGCTATAGCATCTCTGAATTAAAATATTATAAGATAAATATAAATATAAATATAAAATATTATATAATATGATATAATCATATAATATATAACTCTAAAGCTGTGCTGCTCCAAGCACATCTTGCTGCAAATTATTTTAGAAGTCTGTACTTATTTTTCTGAACCTATGGGAGACATTAGGAAACATAATGAAGACTTTTATGATCCCAAACAAGATTACTAAGAGTAAACAGCTCACATTCTGCAGCAAACTGCATCGACACACAGATTCAGATGCATTAGAGACTCATTCATTATGCGCTCGAGAACTTTTTAACTCCCAGATAAACCGTATGCGTTCAGTATTCAGTCTCCTCTGGAAAACAGATTTAGGTTGCATCCTGAATATACTTGTGTGGGGTTCATTTCATAAGAGATCATCAATTTATTCATTAGTTGTCTGAACGCTCAGAGTTTGCCGTGCTCCATTCAATTCTCAGACTGACTTGCAATAAACGAAACAACTCATTAGCAATGCACATACTAAAATCAAATCAAACTACCATCCTGAGACAGATATATGCACTCTGGCCTCATAATGCAGACAATCTAGTTAAAAGACAATCAATAGAGTCAACAATGGTTGATCCGACAGGTGTAACCAGCAGGTGTCAGCGAGTCATAAAAAGCTTCAGCTAAACTAGTACACAGCTCATTAACTTCACGTTATTAAACTTAACAACTGTTTTATACAATAGATTTCAATGGTTTTTAGAAGAACAAAACACACTCCATTTTACAGTTCTGTGAAAACAAAATCAACCCTATTTATTTCTCTTCACAAATGTTTTGAATCATTATTATTTGTCAGTTTGGAAGCTTGTTTCTGCCACAGAATAAAAAAAAGGGTAATTGTGACTTTAATCTCATTCTAACTTTTTTGTTGCAAGTGCAACTGAGTTTATATCTCACAATTGTGCTACCAGCATCTTATTCATGTGGTTTGAAGCTTTTTTAATGTCCATACCTACCCCTACCCTAAACCTACCCGTCCACACCTACCCTTACCCTAAACTTACCCTTAAAACAATGTAAATATATTTTTGGTAGCACACTCTGATAGGTAGCATGTTTTGGCGCTACACCGATTCTGTGATTAGTAGAAAATCTCCAGCACGTGCTTTCAGATGGAGCAGCGTTTACTACACAGAGCCTTAGTTCACTGACAAGCTACGCAAAATCGCATTCATAATCGCAGGCGATTTAATCGAGCGATTATGAAAGCTGTTTGCGTAGCTTGTCAGTGAACTAAGGCTCTGTGTAGTAAACGCTGCTCCACCTGAAAGCAAGTGAAAATACCACATTTAATAACATGTTTTTACTCCAAACTCACTTCGTAACGTGAGTCAAGTGTTTGAAATAAATCCTTCTGTGAGATGATGTGGCTTCTTACACAGAATAAGGCATGCAACATATTTCATAGTATTCTAAGCAGTGATAAAGGCTATGTCGATTAGCATTGCATTATTATATACTTTATTATAATAAAAATTATAATAAGACGAACTCAGATAAACCATATATTGTCGTAGTCGTGTTTATTAGTCACGTTGAATTAATGAAAGCAGTTAAATCTTCTGTTTATTCAGCTACAGAGATAGGCATTTCCTGGGTTTCTTCTGCGAAGCATATTTGGCCTTCGGATGGAGATTTACTGCTGATCACAGAACCGTGCTTCACTGAAAGATACGCATGACAATCGCAGCTTCTGCCTAATCTCGATTTATCACCTTCGCGATTTAATTTCGATTAATCGTGCAGCCCTAAGCAGAATTACATTAGACAGAATTACAAGATATAAATGACCTTTTTTTATTTTGTGGCAGAAACAAATCAGAATTGCAAGATATAAACTTGGAATTGTGAGATATAAATGTGGAATTAGGAGATATAAACTTGGAACTGGGAGATATAAACTCAGAATTGTGAGATGTAAACTCGGAATTGTGAGATGTAAACTCGGAATCGTGAGATGTAAACTCGGAATCGTGAGAGGTAAACTCGGAATCGTGAGAGGTAAACTCGGAATCGTGAGATATAAATTTGGAATTGTGAGATATAAACACTTGGAATTGTGAGATATAAATTTGGAATTGTGAGATATAAACTCGGAACTGTGAGATGTAAACTTGGAATCGTGAGATGTAAACTCGGAATCGTGAGATGTAAACTCGGAATCGTGAGATGTAAACTCGGAATCGTGAGATGTAAACTCGGAATCGTGAGATGTAAACTCGGAATCGTGAGATGTAAACTCGGAATCGTGAGATGTAAACTCGGAATCGTGAGATGTAAACTCGGAATCGTGAGATGTAAACTCGGAATCGTGAGATGTAAACTCGGAATCGTGAGATGTAAACTCGGAATCGTGAGATGTAAACTCGGAATCGTGAGATGTAAACTCGGAATCGTGAGATGTAAACTCGGAATCGTGAGATGTAAACTCGGAATCGTGAGATGTAAACTCGGAATCGTGAGATGTAAACTCGGAATCGTGAGATGTAAACTCGGAATCGTGAGATGTAAACTCGGAATCGTGAGATGTAAACTCGGAATCATGAAATGTAAACTCGGAATTGTGAGAAATACACGGAATTGTGAGATGTAAACTTAAAATTGTGAGATGTAAACTTAGAATTGTGAGATGTAAACTCGGAATCGTGAGATGTAAACTCGGAATCGTGAGATGTAAACTCGGAATCGTGAGATGTAAACTCGGAATCGTGAGACGTAAACTCGGAATTCTGAGATGTAAACTTGGAATTGTGAGAAATACACTCGGAATTCTGAGATGTAAACTTGCAATTGTGAGATGTAAATTTGGAATTGTGAGATATACACTCAGAATTGTGAGATAAACTTGGAATTGTGAGAAACAAAGTCAGAACTGCTAGAAAACAGTTAGAATTATCGTGAGACGTAAACTCGGAATCGTGAGACGTAAACTCGGAATTCTGAGATGTAAACTTGGAATTGTGAGAAATACACTCGGAATTCTGAGATGTAAACTTGCAATTGTGAGATGTAAATTTGGAATTGTGAGATATACACTCAGAATTGTGAGATAAACTTGGAATTGTGAGAAACAAAGTCAGAACTGCTAGAAAACAGTTAGAATTGTGGTGGAAACATGCTTCCATATGTCAGTGCACATTCTGAAGAAAAAAAAAGTTTGACTTTATAATCATTCATCAAATTGTAAGAACTTGCTCTGCCTCTAAACTGACTTTCCTTTTCATCTGACATCATGAATCCCACATACTTTCGACCTCCCTCCAAACCACGACTTTCATTCTGCTATGAAACACCCCTTTTCATGATCCAATCAATTCCTAATGAATAAAACAGAGTTCCACCCTGTGGGTTTTCTTAAATAGGTCACATTATGGAAGTACACATACATAGGGAACGCAAAATAAAATACAGTAAACAATCACTGCACAGCAGCATATCCATCAGTTGAATTTAACTAAAGAATGAACAAAAGCTTGTGCTTTAGATAGATAGATTTTTTCTGCACTTTACTAAAACAAGTGTACATGTACCACAGTAAATCAGTGATTTTTTTTACATCCCCATCAGCTCATGAAGTCATTTGGCTGTAAACAAAAACAACACATCACACAGTCCTAAAAATAAAACCCTAAAACAGCTTCTCCAGACGTCAACATGTTTTATCCATACATGAGATTCACTGCAACAGGCCGTCTGATACACAGGCTGCGTCTCAAAACCTACAAACTGCATCATAGACGCAGAGTCATAAAAAGTTGCTGACTTGGAAGTGTCTATTATGATGCCCAAAAATGCTACACGCACACATATGATGCCCAAAACTGCTGTTGACTTGGAATACGTCTATTATCATTACTATCAAAATTGCTTCACACACAGTTCTGATGTCCAAACTAGCGCTGACTTGGAACACGACTATGTTTATGTCCAAAATTGCTGTTGGATTGGAACACGTCCGTGTGAAGCCCAAAACCGTTGCTGGCTATGAAGTGCATGAAAAAAAAACCGCTGCACGCATCTCAACGCCGCGTGTGTTTACCTCCAGACATGCTGCACGAGCGTCTTGCTTTGAGACGCGTCCAGCGCGCGCTGCTGCAAACGCGTTTATTTACATATACAAACAGATTCACGTACCGTAAAACCCCGCCGCCGCTCCGGAGGAAGATCCTACAGGATGGAGGAGAGGAGCGCGTGTGTGAGATGAAATCAGCGGACGGACACACACATCCACCAAACAGCATCCGCGCACTGCGCATGTCAGCGCCGCACCGACCATCATCATTCACGGGACCCGCTCACTGTCACTGGGGTCTGTCAGTGGAGAATATAAAACACAAACACGGAACGGATTCATCACATCTCATACTATTAATTAATTAACCTTGATTTGCGAAGTAGTAAATGGTCAATGCAATACAAATGCGCTTTATTAAAGTTAACATAATGTGTTACTGAGGAAATCAAGAGTTTTATATTGAGGGTCCTAGGTTAAAACTTGTTATATAGGCCTACTATTAAATATTACTTTTATTTTATTTTACCGTAATAAAATAATTGTTGAAGAACAACATGCTTATTTACAGCAATGCAATATCTTCTCTTTTCCTTTAAGGGGCATAAATAAATAAATAAATAAAAGCAAAATTTTTATGCATATTTTTATGTATAATTAAAAATTGCATGTATATCCATTCATTTATTTAAACAGGTGTAACTTTTGTATTAAGCATAGCATTGGAATATCTTCTTTTCCTCTTTAAGGGGAGCAAATAAATATTACATATGCAAATAAATAAATAAATACATATTTAACGAGGTATTTAAGAGCAACATTCTTATCTTCTTTTCATCTTTAAGGGGGGTAGGAGAACAATGAGGAATAATAATTAACACTTTAAATACAACAATTTATGCAAATAATGAAAAAATAAATAACTTGTTATATCTAAACCATTTACAAATGTTTTAAATAAACAAACAAACAAACTGGTAGAAATCATTGTATTTTCAAAATTTACAGAAAATGTAAGAACAGCAGGATAAAAAAACATCTAGACGTTGAAGGTCACCTTTACAAGCACAACTGTACAACATCTCCATAAATAAATATCTGTATATTTCCATAAATGGATGAGGATGGTTGTTCAGACCAGGCGTGTTTTGGAGGGCAAAGTAAAAGAGGGTCAGATAAGGTACACAAATCTAAAAACTACATAAAAAATATAATAAGACTGGATTTCATGTTCACCTGCAAATGTGCTAGATTTACAAAAATAAACAAATAATCAAGCTAAATACCAGGTCTGTAGAATTAGGTCTGTATTCCTTCTAGAAAACATACTGTATCATACAGTATAAGCTGGTTTTTGGAATGTAGCTGGTTTGTTTCCGGTCCAAAGTGGTCTACCATCTCTAAACCAGCTTGGTCAATAATCTCAGGCCTCCGTGGAGTGAAGTGTACATCATCTGAAGAGAAAAGCACAAATAGGACAAATAGTGCCATTTAAAGAACAAATAAATACACCACAAGACATACAGTGATGCTAGAAATGTAAAGATGCCGCCTGCCTTCTGATCACTGAGCATGTGATCGTTTGAACAGAAACTGCGATGAAAAACATCACAAACACATTCAGATTCAGTTTGAGTGGGAATCAAATGGGCTTGTGGCGTAACCGCAGATCAGACCTTTAACAAGGCAAATGTGTTTATATTTCATGAGAATGTGCTGATTGCACGAAACTGAAAACCTGCCAGAACCAGCAAACAGCACAAAGGACGCCAGCTCGCAGATCATCATTCATTAAAGAGCACAACACCAGCACAACTCAACGCAAAGCACACTATTCGTCACACTATACTATATGGGTTTGTAGCACACAGGGGACGCTTTCCTCCGAGCTCACATACACTGTTCCAGAGAAAAACTGCCTGCAATCACGCTTTTCCTTATTTACTGAAGTCTAAGAACCAGGCACAAAGAACAAAAAAAGAACAAAAAAAAGTCAAGATGAAACATTATGTTATATGAAATAATTATGTTTTATTTTATCATATTTTACAAGCCATTTAAGAGCAACTTTCTCTTAAGTCTAAGAACCATTTACATTACTGCAAATTAAACAAGTACAAATATGAAAAATAATCAAAATGAAATAAATATCACGCAACTCTTTATTTGATTTTATCGAATCATCAGTGCATCTATTTATTATATTGTTTTATTTTTATTTTTTTTACTTCCTTTTATTATTTTAT